TCCCCCTCCCTCCACCGCTATCCCACCAGCGGGTCGGTCACCCCCATAATAATTCCCTCCCCACGGGCTCAACTGCGGGTCGGTCACCCCCATAATAATTCATCAAGCTTTGCGAAAAGTTGCCGCGAATTCAAAGCCATCGGAGCAGCAGCAGCGGGCAGCTTCCTGACAAGCATGGTTATTTCGTTATTCTGCCTTTACGCCAGCAACCCACACCCACTCCCCTTCTCCTCCCCTCACCCCTCGCGGCCCCGCCGCCAAAGCTGTGAGAATTTTCGCGTTTCCTTTTAATGAAGTTTGCCAAAGTGGAATATGATATCAAGTAGTAGTTGGTGGCGCGGCGGGGTAGCAGGACGCCGTGTTTGCACAGCGTCGTTGGTGTTTGGTCTTCGGAAAGTCATTTACGCGGGAATTATATCAACTCCTTCCTCTGCGATCCCCGTAACCGTTCGCGTCGTCCACCCCCTTCCCCACGCCACGTCCCCCGCGCCCTTCCCCCTCCAACTATCCGGTCTAGCACAAGGTATGAGGATCGTACCCCAATCGGGAACACTTTAAACCTACTTCTCGGTATGTGACAAAGGATAAAGCTGCTGCACCTCAGCTTTCCGTAATAGTTTTTTCCCTTTTTTTTTATTTCTTTTTTTTTAAGGCTCCCCCTTTTCCTGCCTCCTTTGGGATCATTGTCGATATGCACTGTCTGTACTTCCGCGCCCCACGTACGGCCGGTAGAGGGGGGGGGGGGCTGGTGAGTAAATCTTTCCCTCGCCGTCCGTCCCGTCCTGGGCCCCTTTCACCGCGAAGATTCACATTCAGATATCGAACAGTGTCGAGCGTAGCCAGGGCGTAACGGGCCCAAGGAACGGGGGCCTCTTTATTTTGAAAGAGTTTCACTCTCCCACCATTTTCTCTTGTGCACCCATCGCATCGCGGGGGATAGGGTTGATAGTGTTAAATTATAACCTTTCGACCGAGTGGGACTGTACGTTGCGTCATTCTCCATGGTGGGTGGACTCACGACACAGCCACGCCGTGTGAAACCATGGCAAAATCTTACTGAAAACACCCTCCCAGAGTTCCACTCACCGTTTCCATGGTGTGACCGCCACCGTAAAGGTCGTCTTTCTCTCGTACGGTGTGTAGCAGGGCCCGGAAGTTTGCAGTGACGCTACCCCTCGTCGCAGTTCTAGTTTCGCTCCTCACGCCCTCTGTTTCTCTCGCTCGTGGAGTATTCCCGATTAGTCAGGGGAGTAAGAAGACTTCGCCCGGCCGCCGCTCGCCGCCAGCGCTCTCAGCCGACGTCCGAGCGGTCCGGCCACACTTGCTGCACATCTTCAGTTGACGAGCAACGTTTGGCCAGCAGCAGCAAGGACGGCTCTAGTTGACACAATGGAGAGATCTGAGGTAGGCTTCAACGAAGTGGGGTTATGATGTGTGCCTGACATCATTTGCGAAAGTGGGTTTGTCTTATTGGTGTAGAACTGTGACAGCAGGGCATCTTAGAACATCTGAAGTTGACTGTCGCCGCACCATTCCATAACACCCTTTGTTTAGAGCGTAGTGGGCGAGAAATATGTGTAAAAGGTGAACGTTCACCCAATGTTTCCCAAATGCCCGTGTTCGCTCAATGTTACTATAGTTTCACTTGCAATTTCCGTCCATGCTGCAAACTAACCTTGCACGTCGTCAAACTTACTTCCAACCAACCATCTCTATCGTTTTCTAACAGCAAGTGTCGTCTCACTGGTATCAATCGTCCACGACGCGAGTTTCTCTCCTTTCATTGTTGTTTTCGTCCGCAGTGGCACCTCCACCTCCTGCCCCAACTGCGGGTCGAAATGGAGCAGCGAGGCCTGCTCTCCCCGCTGCTGTGGGTGCCCATGGACGCAGTCGGCCAGATCTGCTATGATAAAATGGTCGATATGTTGTTTTTCGCGCCCAGTGATTGGGATGCCCTGATGGGGTCTCTAGCGACCCTCGCAAGGTAAGTGAGTGCGCTCGCTGGCTGGACCAGGCTGGACACGGTGAGCGAGTGAGCGCGCCCCGAAGCCAAACACACAATGTTTACATTTTATTTCTGTGTCCCCTCCAGAAATGTGTTCATGAAGAAGCTGAACTA